TGAAAAAGTGTATGTGGTAGCACAAGTGAGGGAATCAAAAATTCATTTGTGATGGAGGAATGTATATTAAATAGAGAAGGGTATATGTGCAAAAGATAAGGGATAGTTTGGTTATATATAGTGAGAGAATGAACAACGGATTAAATCATTAGACAAATACATGAAGGAAAAGTGCGCTGAGAGGAAGAGGAAGAATATTATGTTCGGATGGACTTTCTGAGATCCTCAAACAATCCAAAGTGAAAAACTTAAAGAATGAAGGCCTTTCTGTCTTAATAATCTCCAGATGACATTAACATCATCTCCAGCCTAGTTTGGGATAGCAGTGTAAAGTTGGATATCAATAGTGTATTGATACTGATGTTACTTTATTTTAAACTGATGGATGTCCTCTCCCAACGGCTTCATCTAAAAGTTAAGAGGAGGGGGAATTATAGGCACCAAACTGACCTTCCTTCTTCTCTAAATAGCAATGAGGGAAGAAGGGAGAAAAAACTGCTTTATTTCCAATAAGTTTAATGAACCTTACAGTATGTGCAAGAGTAATTTGCAGATCTTTAGACGGAAGACAGAAATAAAATGGTAAAAAGAGGAATTGCAGGATAATTGCAGTATAGTATTATACAATGAAAATGTCCTTAGAAACAATTATCAGTTTTCTGTGCAGTTGGATAGCATTGTGCTATGTGCCTGCAGATACACTCATTTGTATTTCTCACAACCACTGTAGCACAGAGCTACCCAGCTAAGTGATCATGCTTACTTTCATTAGCTAACATTTTATGTCCTCTGGCACAGATGTTTGCTCATCCCTCTCATAACACTTATTATGCCATGACATTACCCTGTTCTGAAAACTGCATTTATTTTATTCAAGATTGTAATTTAGGAACCACTCAGTGCTTCAGTGAATGGCAAAGCAGAGCTGTATTTTCCAACAAATTCCCGAAAGGAGCAGCCAATTAGCACTCCTGTCTGAAGTTGGACTTGCAAGGTCCAAATGGGAGAAAAATTGTATGAGCTGAACAACAGTTTTACCATTTTACAGAAACGCACTTTATAAGCAGGAAAAGTATATTTGTCCAAGTTTTATATCTGCGCTATTTGCTCACAGGTTCATCCCTGCAAGTTAGAAAATATTGGGGGAACTATTATTTTATATCTAACATAGCAGTGTGTTCACATGGTTTGCTTTTCTTAAGGGCAAACAAATGACGATAACAACTGCTTTGCGTAGCAATGGAAATTCTTCTCCCAATTGTGGTCATACATTGAGGACTACCTGTATACCAGTCCATGTTCATTATATAGATGAAAGTATTAGGTTATCAATTTTCACTCTTTTTTCATTCCAGGATGTCAGAATACCTTCCGGGGTAATCCATCTAAAGGAAATATTTTTTTTATTTAAATAATTAGTGAGGAATCGATAATCCTTCCTCTGTTCCCAGACTCTTCTTGGTATTTGTTTCAGTACTATTATTTCTTTATCTTCATATTTTATTGTCTCTTCTCTAGAAATCTTGTAAATAATATCTCTGACTTTCCTTCTGGCAAATCTAATATGGACCTCTCAAGGGAATCTGTGCTGTCTCACATAACTGGTATAAACTCTATAGATATTATAAAATTCATTTAAAGTATTAGGATGATTTTCAGGTCAAGGAAGGTGCATCCTGGCCTCTCTCAGAAAGGGAAGTAGGGGGCAGGAGGCTGTACCCTCTGAGTCCAGATTCCAGAAATAATATAATCAAAAGAGGAAAGTGAGCCTGATGTATCAATTGGCTAAAAGAAGGAGGGGAAAAACCAAAAGAACAAAATAGTACTTGCAGTGAACTTTGGTTTGGTTACCCCCCTGCCCAGAGGAGTGGGACCAAACATACTATTCCAGCTTCTATTCCAGATGCTATTCCTTAAAATTGCAGGTTACAAATCAAATTCTTTTATCTTTCATAATTGCCAAGGAACGGTGAGCTTCCAGCAAGTTCACGATGCTACACAGTGGGGAAATAATAATTTAAAAAACAATATAGAGAATAATCTGTCTCTAGACAAATCTGCTAGTGGTTCCATCTTCTTGCATTTCTTGGTTTATTCCTTAACACAAAAGCAATTTATTAAGTACCCTTTGAAAAAACTGCCATGATTGTCCACTACAAGCCAAAAGGCAGCATGAAAATCAAGCATAAACCAATAAAATATGCAAGATTTTCTACATAAAAGTAGCTTTCTTTAACTATAGGTCATGTGAACTTGGAAGTTCTGCTTATGTGTCTTGTTATTAACATTTACCTTTTCTGTCTATGGAGCTTCTCAGTCATCCAGGTCATGGTTGTCCCAAAGGTGCTTTTTCAAGAGGCAACTGGACTTTCTGGTTTTTCTTTGAAGACCTTTCACTTCTCATTTCTGGTTTTTCTTTGAAGATGTTACGCTTCTCATCCAAGAATGAGAAGCAAAACTTCTTCAAAGAAAAACTAGGAAGTCCAGTTGCCTCTTGAAAAAGCACCTTTGGGATATTTACCTTCCATGTTTTCTTTTTGCCTTTATGTTTTGGTAAATCACACTGCATTTGTCTACATTTGAAATATGCCTAAAGGGATTTCGCCCCCTCTGTCATATCCAGACAGGAATCATGTTTAAAAAATAGTCACACTTGTCCCCCTAAATGATCAGCACCAGCTTCAAATTTGTCAATCAGTGTTATATTCTTCTAAGGTTGACAATATTCCCCAAGTAATCGTGTGTTTAAACTTTAAAATAAGCAGTCATTAAGCACATATTCATTCAATATTAGGAGGTCAGGAGACTCTACTGTGCAATTTGCATATTTTTTTCCAACTTGACATAGATTATTTTTGTAATTTAGGAAAAATTGTTTTCAGCGTTATTATTTAATAGCAATGTTTATTTTTTAATTCAAACTGCAGCTCATAACTATGAGTTGCATCGATTTCTCTTCAAGTATTGTGCTTGAGTTAGTTGACCTGCTAGGATATATTTTTCCCTGGTGAGATCTGCACTAAAAATTGTCATGTATAAACTACTCTAAAACAAATTAATTGTATTTGAACAAGAAGCTAAGTGTTATTTTAAAAAAAAAGGTTCAACATGTTCAGGAACCCCCAAATTTGCTTTTCTATGCAGTTTTAGGTTTCTCTGTTGGCTTCTGGTTTCTCACTTGAAACATTGGTGCTTTACCACAGTGGCCCCCAACCTTTTTTGTGCCACGACCCAGTACCGGCATCACAAAATGATCCACGGCCCGGTACCGGCATCAGCACGCATGGCAAGGCGAGCCGAGCGACCGGCCAGCCAGCTGTCCCCCGCTTCTCCCCGCCACCTTCAACTCTTCCTTTGTACCTTTGTCGATGGGCTTCGGGACGGCCGCTCGGCTCGCCTTGCCTTGGGTGCTGAAAGAATCCTCGCGCCTTAGTTTTGTTCGAAGCCACACCCCCCCCCTTCGATGAAACTAAGGCACAAGGATTCCTTCAGGACCCAAACGCCGCTTTCCAACCGGAAAAGCTCACCGGAAGCACTTTCTCATCAAAGCAAGATGGCGGCGCCCAGCAAACCGGCAGCTCGGTAGAAAATGTTCCAAGGACCGGTACCGGTCCAGGGCCTGGTGGTTGGGGACCCCTGCTTTACCAGACATACCCGGTTTGAGATAGGAGCCAGCAATCAGAATGTAGAAAGAGTTTGGAAGGGACCAGTGCTGCCCCAGGGCCTGTTGCTCCAAGGAGGTTGCTTACAGAGAGAAACTCTGTGCATTTCCTGTGACCTTTGCAGAACCTTCTGTGAAACCGAGAAGGTAATGGGGGTAGTCCTCAACCTACAACTATTCATTTAGTGACTGTTCAAAATTACAATGTCACTGAAAAAAGTATTTACAACCATTGCCGCATGATCACAATTCAGGGGCATGGCAACTGGCTTATGTTTATGACAGTTGCAGCATCCCATGGGTCATGTGATCACAATTTGCAGCCTTCCCAGTTGGCTTCAGACAAGCAAAGTTAATGGGAGGGAGCAGGATCTGCTTACAGGCCATGCGATTCCCTTAACAACTGCCTCGATCTATTTAGCAACCATGGTAGAAGGTCATAAAATCAAGTGCAACTCGCTTAACAGCCACCTTGATTAATTAACAAGAGAAATTCTGATCCCAATGGTGGTCATAAGAAGAGGACTATCTCCATTGGCGCATTTGGCAACGCTGATTGTATTGGCAAACAGACAGAGCAGGTTGGGGGCTGCAGAGAAAAATTTGAGTTTTACACCTCTTTGTTTACATGCTTCCATTCCAGGTACAAATGTGCAGTGAAATGTCTCCCACAACTCGGCAACTCTGAGGTGTGAAACACAAATACACAATGCTAGAATGAGAATGCCATGAGTTTAAAATTGGTATAGTAGATCAGATTAATTAAACATTAGTAAGGGCATTAATTTAAATCACAAACAAGTGTAGTGACCAGGTATTTACTTGTTTTGTACACATACCCCAAAGTAAACTAAAGTCAAAGTTGTCCAATTGATTGAAAAATAATGTTCACGATACACTCAACTGGGTTCCAGAGACTGCAGTTGAAAGGAATATTTAGGCTCTCCTGGGCAAATGAATTAATAAATGAGCAGAAAGTGACACAAACCTTTACATGTCACATCTTTTTGCAAATCTGAATGCATACTTTCTACTTAACTGTAATTTAGCCATGCAATAATATTTTTAAAAATCCAGTGAATATGACATATACTGAAATTTATGTTGGTATTAAATGGGAGTTATCAACATACTGAATGTAATATAATCATGGCAAATTGCTGGCAAGAAAAGAATAGTATTAACCCAATGGGACCAGAGGTGTTGAAATGTTTATTTTTAGTATTTCTACAGGAAAAACTTCTGAGATGCGAGAACGGACTCCTAAACAGGCTCCTATATATTTCTCTACTCTATACACTCCTATGACCTTATATTGACTGCAATAATATGTTCTCACCTCAAACTTCTGCCTCAGTTCTGTATTTCCATCGTCATCAGCTTCTGGTATTGGCACATTATAATACTCGCCTTCTTCCTGGTTAAGTAATTTATACCTGAACAATATGAGGAAAATAATTTGAGATATATAAAAAGGATTGTTTTATGCATTTTTGTTCTTACTATTTGAATGCAGGTCATTTTTTTTATCTAGAAGAAAAGACCAGAAATGGGAAGCTGTGCTGTACAGTCCTAGTATTCTAAATTTACTGAGGCCAAACAGGCTCTCCTTCATAAATGATGGTAAATAATCTTAAAGGGTGCAGCATTTGCCTGCAGTAAGAAATTAGCATAGAGGATGCTAAGTAGGCAGCTGATTTGAAGGCTGCTTCATCATGCCTTCCAGAAAAACCAGGGGTTGTACTATTGCCTTGGATTCTTCCCTTTGGGGAACCAACTGAAGAAAAGAAAAAAGATGCCGTTTCTACATCAAAGCAAGTTACTGACTGAAGTATTATTTTAAAACTCAGCAACTTTTCTGCTTTCCAAGCTAATAATTACACATTTTGCAACTATCTAACTGACACAGTGGGAAAGCATTTCAACAATTGAATAGAATGTATGGTTAACACGTTAACGATGGATCAATGAAACAGTCCATTGTTACAAAGGGGTCTTACCATCCACAAGCTGGCGACTTCTTCAGTTCTGACACTCCAAAAGAGAGGGATCCCATGAAATCGTTCCTAGTGGTTCGATCCCAGTCCCAGACTTCCACTGATAACCTTCTGTCTTTGTCTGTGGGCTTTAATTTACTACGAACAGAAAAGCAATTTACAGCATTTAGGCATTTGTGCAACAAAATGTGATTGAAATATGATTAAGCAAAGTATCCGCCTGTCACTTACAATGCGAAGGACTCATTCCAGTGTGGATTGAGCGTCGAGCGGATGGTTTTTGTTTTCTTTTTACTTTCGTTCTTAGGATCTGGAATAAGTTTCAGTTTAACATACGGGTCTGAGAGTCCGTTGGGATCCATAGGGATTAGATTTCTTGCATCCCGCACTGCAAACATACAAAATAACTGTCAACAAGTTATAAAGATTATAAAAATAAGCCAGCTGGGTGACCTTGGACCAGTCTATCTCCACTCAACCCACTTCATGGGGTTGTTATTGCAAGGAAAATAAGAGGAGGAAGGAGTATTAGGTATGTTCCCAGCCTCATTTTTTTTTGTGGTAAAAATAATAAAGTTAGGAAATAAATAAAGATCTCTACTGCAATACATTCAACACAACGTTGAGCCATACTCCCACATTAAATGTTAAAAACATGCGGCAAGGTGTTATGAGAGATATATCATTCATTTGAGAAAAAGTAAAGAGAAGAAAAAGAGATACACTAGGACTTCGCATTTCCTGTTCCCAAAACACCTTGTGGTCCAAATAACTTAGTGGAAATCTTTTCAGAGAGCTATTGATGCTAATAATAACAAAGTTCAAAAGCTTCCATTGATATATGGCTCAGCTGTTAAACAATGAACATACCAAGATATCAGTTCTTGGCTTGCAACCTTTTGTTTAATGACCATTTGAAGGTACAATGGAAACTGAAAAAAATGACTTATTCACATTTAGGACAGTTGGAACATGCAATAAAATGTGATAAAAATTTGGGTGGTTGGCAATCAGCATGTATTTATGACAATTGCACTGTCCTATGGTCATATCATCACCATTTGTAAGCTTCCCAACTGGCTTCTGACAAGCAAAGTCCATGGGGGAAGCCAGATTTGCTTAACTGTTTCACTTAACTGCAGTGATTCGCTTTAACAACTGTGGAAATAAAGATCGTAAAATGAGGCTAAACTCACTTAACAAATGTCTCGCTTAGCCACAGAAATTTTGGGTTCAGTGGTGGTCCTTAAGTCGAGGACTACTTGTACTAGATCAATATAAATAAGGATTCTAATTTTGCCGTTGAAGTAGTCAACATTATGCCTGGCTTTGTATTCCTGAGTTGATCCATCTGTTTTTGGTACAGAACATTCAGCTTACATTTCTCAAAAGAGAACAGAATCCTACTGATGGCTTATCAGCATTCTAATTAAGCTGAAAAAAAGTAGGGAATATGCTAAACAAACAAATAAACAAACGAAAATCTTATTGAAATTTGACCATTTTGCCAGAAAAAGCTGACTGCCTGATCTTGGGATTCTGGGAAGGTAAAATATGTGGGTTATCTACCCATCCTTGCTGTAGAATTAGAATTGTCAAAATCCTTTAACCTCTATAAATTTTAACATGACCCTTTTATTTTTCTTGAAGCAGTAATGACTGACGATTTGTGCCCAATGAAACTCAAAACACACCTCCAAGCTCGTCTGGGAAGCACAGGAACCAGATGGTTCTCTGAATTTTGTCTTGATTTTAATAATCTTTCAGGTCCAACCAAAACAGAGAATAAACTTGCTTTTTTCAGGCACAGAGATTGTTTGGGGAAGTTTTATTTGTTGAAGATAACACTCTTTTTTTTTTCAAATTAAAAAAAAGAGAGTATTTTTTTTTTAAAGTACTCTTCACACATGCAACTTTTTCCTGTGGCAGAAGTGTATCTGATCTAGTCAAAGCTTTTCCGGAAGTAAGGGAGATGTCAGCTCTGCCATCTTCAGCTTTGTGCCCCACTGGCATCCTGCCATCAGCTTCAGGCGAGGGCAGGAAGTGGGAAATAAACATATATGGGCCATAGGTAGGAAAAAGGGAGGGGAGATGACAGCTTGACAGATACTAGGGATGCAAGAAACCAGCCTGTGTCAGTCTTCAAGGTCATGAAACTTGAGAATGGAATGTGGATTGTTCCCAACTTCCCGACAGGTTCTCAAAACATCCATTGGCTGAAGACAGATTGGTCAAAGAGGGAGAGCCGGGACGAAGGGGAAAAGTTTGTAACCTTTTGCACAGGTTAATTCTAACCTGACTTTACTGCAGCCAGCAACCTTTAATAAAAGAACCTATCGCTTCAACCAAATGGAGTTGAGGGTCTTTCTTTCCAAAGGGCTCTGATTTGGGCAGGTCTGACAGGAGGAACATTTTGTTTTCTCCTGCAGTCTCCACAATTTGGAGTTATTCCACTCGGGAGCCTAAAACTCGGGAGCAAATTCTATAGACGGAAGTAGCATCAGCAAACCTTTCCTCTTCCAATGAAGTTGTCCTCTACCATCTTTCTATTAATTGAATTGAATATCTGAGAAACCATCTTTCCCCAATGGGATTGTCCTGCCTCACTCATGCTGGCAGAAGGGGCCTGCTGCAGAACCCATCAGCCAAGGAATTTGCCTGGTGAGGTCCAGAAGAGCCTTTTCTGACATGGCCTCCAACCTTTGGGACATCTTGCGGCAGGAGATGAGATTCGTCTCCTCTCTTTTGGCCTTCTGGAAAAGCCTTAACACCAGGCTGTGCCAGTTGACATGGGGCCCTGAAGGAGAAGCTGTTGGTTGGAGAGGGTGCAGAAACAAGAGAAGATACCACCACTCCCCATGGTTTTTAGTTTTAGGTTTTAGTTTCTTTTAATTTTTTGTAATTTCAATCTGTTCTTACAATTGTTGTATCTGTATGTTTTATTACATTGTAAGCTGCTCAGAGTCGCCTTGAACCATGAGATGCGTGGCATATAAATTGAATAAACAAATTACAAAACCCTTTATTTATTCACAAAATCAATAAAGAAAAGCAGGAGAGAGAGATAAAATATGTGATGCAGGTAGGGATTTTTTTTTAGCTCATACCTCTTAACTTTCTTTCAGATCTAAAGATAAATAAAAAAAAAAGAACTTAGGCAAACTTGCTAGATAAACAAAGCCCAGCATTCTGTAAACTTTAAATTTGGCTACCAATGCAGAAACAACTTAGCTATAAATTGCAAGTCGGAACATTTTTCCAGACAGCTTCTGAGAACATGACCCATTTTCCTTTCTGGAAATAAAGGAATGACTGTGGTGGGAGTTGCAGCAACACAGTACTGCTTTTGTCTATCAGAAATAATGAACAACGAAGAGCAGAAGGCTCAGAATCTCTGGCCATGTCACCAAAACACCCAGTGAAATGTGCATAATTGTTCAGTAAAAGGTCAGTTGAATCATTTTAGTTTCTTTAATATTAAATCTGGCAACAAAAAATCTCTACCTTGTAACACAGGGTGAAGAAAACAAGCATTTAGGTACAATAAAATTACTTCTTTGCAAAATCCAAATGCTTAAAAAAGTGAAAAAATAAGTAGAAAATGGGTTATTTATTTGAATGATAGGGTAACTAGAATAACATATTTAATTTTTCAGCTGGGGATGAATAGTGTTAAATATGTATCCATATATGCATCCATATACCCATATCTATCTATCTATCTATCTATCTATCTATCTATCTATCTATCTATCTCTATCCATCTATCATCTATCATCCATCCATAACTTCAATATTTAATTGTTAAATGTGATGGCTGGAATATGATGGGAATTATAGCTCAGTGATTTATGGCTTACCACAACTTACGGTCCTTCCATAAATAATTTTAAGTTCATGACATGTAGAAGATCATTGCCTTCTCACTCTCAACCCCCCCCCCCCTTATGTTATTTTAATAGAACTGTTAATTAAAGATTAGGGCAGAATGCATGCATGTAGGATTGATGTCGACCAATGTAACTAGTTTTCTGTTCTGTCTGCAATCCAATCATAAAAGAGTAGACATAATTTAACTGAACTGTATTATTCTCATTAAAATACATTTGAATTTTACAAAAACATACTGATATATTTTATGACTACTTGGGCATGGTTAGAGTGCTGAACTAGAAAAAGTGTTAAACAAAAATGATATATAACACCAATACATCTTCTTACCAATAAATCATATACCCAAGAGCAACTATTTCAAATATAACAACAAGCACTGCATGCTCAACACTTCAATAATTTTATATGTTAGGCTCTTCAATATGTTGAGGGGATAAAAAAAGATAAGTGCCTAATCTCATTTAGGATACATTGAATAGCCAACTATTCAAAGTCATTTATACTTGCTTTGTAGCTCCAAATTATATTACTACTGTGTTTTGTGTTGGATGTACCTACAAAGGTGCTTCTGGGTTGAAAGGATTAGCCGGTGACATCCCCTTTGTCCAGGAGATACCTGAGGGGGCTCATTTCATGTCCCTGATATTTTCCCACTGAAGTGGTACCTATTCATCTACTTGCATTTGCACGCTTTCAAACTACTAGGTTGGCAGGACCTGGGACAAATTGACGGGAGCTCATTCCATCACACATCTCGCTCTTGAGTTTTGAAGTGCGGAGCTATTGACTTCTCAATGATCTTTTGTCTCAGCGTTCTAACCACAAGCCATTTTTAAAGATTATATTAAAAACATTATGGCATTTTTGCCACTCTATCTATGCATATTCTAAAAATAATAACTATTGTTTAGTATTGGAACCTTTGTCAGTGCTTGGCTAAGCTTCATCAATGACTCCATTCATGGGGTTTATGAAAGAAACAATGCCACAATTTAGTACTAAACGTGTCTTGCAGAGCCTGCTGGCTGTTCCAACAGGGTTCCCCCCCCCCACATCTTCCTTGATTAGTTCTTCATGAAATAAACTAAAATCCATGGTTTGCATGATTTGATCCATTTGGACATTGTGTCACTCTGCTGCTTATTCATGGTTAAGCCCTAATACCATTTAGCCTGGTGTTTGAATGTGGTCAATATTACAAATTGTGGGCAAAATCATATTCTACTGAAAAAGGAGGAGAACCAAGGCTAAAGAAAGAGGAAATTAGAGGACAAAAATAATAGTGAAGAAAAGCACTTAAACTCAGAGGGAAAAGCCATTAATTTTTCAATTAAGACAGTAGCATTCGTTTGTTTAAGCACAGATCTAACTCAAATAAGTTTTGGCCAACAATTAAAAATAGATTTTTAAACCTTCGAAATGGTGACACCAACCACAGATTTGATAGTTAGAATGAGGAATGGTGGCAGGTTCAGAAGCCAATATGTTGTACAT